ATTGAAGTTTTTTTGTCAAGTGTTTATTCGGGACTCGTTCGAAAGCTTTTGACATATCTAGAAATATCGCGTCAGTTTGTCCCCCGGCATCCAATTGATTTGCAAAAGTCGTGAATGCATTCACTTAACTTGGTAACCGTTGAAAGTTTTTGTCTAAAGCCGGGCTGGTTTTTAGAAAAAGGTTATTGTTTTCTAACTTGTCGTATAATGATTTTGAGACAATGTGTTCTATTATTTTACAACTGGTACTCGTCAGTGATATTGGCCTATAACTGGTCGAGGATAATTTGTTGACAGCTTTAAAAATAGGCACGACTTTCCCGCATCGCCAGTCGGAGGAAACGTAACTTTGCGATAACGAAGCTTTAAAGATAAGCGTTAGATATTCTAAAACGCACTCAGCGTGCCGTTTTAAGAATGCGTTTGGAATGTTAACGGGTCCCCCAGACTTATGCACTTTAAGTTGCAACAAAAGAGAAAAGAATGCCTTCTTTTGAAATAGAAATTGCTGTTATTACAGGTCCGCTGTTTCCAACACTGCCTCTCACATCGTGACCAGGAAATTTAAGCACTTTACCGGAAAACACGGACTGAAAGAAAGTGTTGAATACATTGGTTATAACCTCTGGTTATTAAAAAATTCACCGTCAACTTCAAGATCTGATATGGGCTTTTTTTGTGGGAGAGAGATAACGCCAAAATTGCTTGGGGTTCGGCCTTATCAAATTTTGAATAGTGACAGTAAAATATATTCGCTTTGATGCACGTAGGTTATCCTTCAATTTATCAGATAAACACAAAATTGTTTGCTTATCAACTAACATCTTTTTACGCTTCCGCTTTATCTGCATTTTTAAATGCAAAATTTCCCTGGTGATAATTGGGTTTTGCTTATTTTTTATTAGTGTTAGGGGATTATAAAGTTTAATGCTATAGTTAACTATTCATTTAAAGTCCTCCCGCATTTCACCTACCGGCCTGGGGCGTTCGAACTCATACAAAGCCATCTCAAGGTAGTCTAAAATGTCAACGTCACTTGCCATCTCACAGTCCCTTACAAACTTTTCAGTATGTTCATTGATGGTCTATCTGAATTCAAATGACAAGTCACGCTAACTAGATCGTTCACTGAGACATCATAATCTGATAGGTCGCTACTCAAAAATACTAAATCCAGAGTTGTGTCAGCATATCTGCCGTGCCTGGTGCTCTGATTGACAACTCGCGTAAAATCAAAATTAAAAGCGAGGTCGAGAATAATTTCAGAATGTTCGGTATCGATAGTACCTGGTGCAAGTTTTTTCGAACTCCGACAGGTTGAAGTCGCCTGCTATTACAACATGTGATTTATGTTTAATATTAGCTTCCACGTAATCGTACAACTTTTCCATGAATGACATAGGTGTACCTTGTATACGATATACAGCAGTGACAGTGATCAGGTTACTGGGCCATTTAATTCGACAAAACAGACTTTCGTGGTCTCGAATATGATTGAGCAGAGGGCTACACTCAACATGAGACTTGACTATGATCGCCACGCCACCGCCACGTGACCCTTGGTCTCTTCGGTGTACCTTATAGTTCAATGGAGACATCTCATTATCATCATTATCACAATGTAGCCAAGTTTCGGTGATGACAGCAACATCAGGGCTATATGATAACAAAACTTGTTCAAGTTTGTCAACTTTATTTACTAAACTACGAGCGTTCAAGTTCACAACAAGAAGAAGTCATGATTGGCAGATCTACTAGGCTGTCATGCAGGTTGTTTTCAGCGTCCCAGCGGTACAATGCATCATCGATTGGTATCTTATCATTGAGTAGCCTGACTTTCGAACCGTTGTCTTTATCTGCCTTCGCGCAATACTTCGTCTCACCCTACGATGGACTAGACGCAAAAGCTACGCACAGCCATATCCAATCATGAGCCACTTAGAAGTTGCGTGGTATTTCGCTTCGATGCACGTATCGGTGTCCGCGTCTCGGATAACTAATTGAATCGAAGAGAATGAGTGACAGATCAATTTTTCATTTAAAGGAAGTCACGACAAAACAGGCTCGTTAAAGTCTCGAAGCTATAGTAATGATGCAGTACTTTTTGATTCGGAACATTATTTGTCCACCACTAATCAATGTTAAGCATGTCATAGTTTAGCGTAACGTGATTGGACCGGGCGGCCCGTGGCTCTTTGGCGTTTAGCTCATCGTAGGATGAGACAAGGTATAGCCCATAGAAGTTTTCGTATTCCTAGTGTTTCTTTGGAATTGTCGTTCGATACAGAGATGGTTCACCCTTTTAGCTTGAAACAGTTCTGAAGGACTTCCATTTTTTCGTTATAATCATATAGTTTCATGATAACCGGCCTACTGTTGTTTCCACGTTTAGCCCCCAGCCTATAATTCCTTCAAGAGACTGCAGTCTTACACCTAATTGTTCAAAAACAGTTTTTTGGTAACCATTATCTTTCATCTCTTTTTCTGTCTCGTTTATCATTTCAGGGATACCGAATACAAGAAGAATATTTTTGCGGCACCTATCTTACAGATCAACTAACCTTCCTTGAATTTCTTTCACGGTGTTCTGTAAGCTATGGATAACTTCGTCGCATACTTTCACGGCCTGGAAGTCATTTTCCACCCGTGGTATTTTCTCAGAAAGTTTTTCAAACTTATCCTCGTGTCGAGCCTGATTTTCTTTAACGCATTAATATCTTTAGTTACGACAGTTTGTCTTTGCAACAATTTTTCGAGTGATTCTTCAACAGTCGTTGGTACGGAGTTTTGCTCTACGTCTCCAGAAAGCAGTAATAGGAGCATCTTACAACATTCTGACATCTCACGGCAAACAACTTGAGGGCACGGCACAACAACAATCAATTTATTGCTCGTTTTTAGGCTACCGTCACAGCAATACACAGCAACCTGATTGACGACAGAAAGAAGCGGCATGTCAGCTGTGCGCTCGACGATGTTGTCATGCCCTCTGAAGGAACCGGTAGTGGCCGTGTCCCTTCTGTAAGCGTTCGAGAGTGGTGACGCCATGCGTTTTGACGTCGCATCTGTTTCAGGCAAGTAAGGTGGTTCCAGCTGATTCGGCACGTGCAGCAATCTTGTGGTCACTGCTATGTCGGTCAACGAGCATGACGAGGGAGCTGCCAGTGCGCTACACAGCAACACCTGATTGACGACAAAAAGAAGCGGCATGTCATCTCTGTGCTTGACGATGTTGCCGTGCTGTGACATCAGTCGTACGCCGGAAACACGAGCTGCCACGGATTTACACGTTGCAGAATGTTCCACATGTTCACTAGTAAAGGGCGCAACGATCACACACAATCATCATCAGCGTTTACACCGTTGCGCACTTTCACGATTCGCTAAAATATTTCAAATTTCACGTACAGTCTCACGCAACGGACCAGCTGCACCGTTCGGGATTTCGGAAACGTGGGCTCGAAAAACGACTAGCCAAAACTCCCTAGTGACAATAAGCAGAGACGGGCATTACAGCAGTGACAATAAGGAGTGATAATAAGGAGTGACGATAAGCAGAGACGGGTATTACAAACAAGATGTTAGCGACATCCACCAGGTGTTCTTTGCTAATGGTTTAATTCGTTTTAAAATTCCTTTTCGTGTCTTTTTCAATGAGAGATTTGTTTGTCTGATGGGATAATGCTCCCTTGAACACGAATTGACCAACAAATAAGCCTCGAAATTTCGTTGTATTATCCCTTTAAGGTTTGTCTCGGACAGCCTTTGAAGTATGGCAACACTGGTTTGCGCCGTAGTTTAGAAACTTCGCGGTGCAGTAAACCCGCTTTACTTAGTTTCACCTTAAGTTGAGGCGTAACAGATGCTACGAGCTAATCGGACCGATCAAGCGGCGTTAAAAGCGCAAGTCACTGGGCCACCTTTGCATATAATTGGTTCAGGGATGATAGAACAAGTACAGAAGCACAAAAAAAACACCATAATGGTGACTATATGACGCTGTCTGAGTGGTCCCACCAGCTTGTAGCGTTGGCTGCGTCTGAACTTGAGGTGAAACGAAGTATAAAAAAAATTGCGGTGGCTTAGCTCGGCTATGTTAGGATATACGTAGCGTGAGCTTATGGGCACAAAATGAGAGGCGCTATCAAGCGGCTCCTGTGCAGCGTCAGACTTGGCTACTGCGCAACGGAGGCGCACAGCTGGGCACGCGGCGGCGCCAGTGTGTCTGCCGTGGCTATGACGTCACTCCACTGGAATGCGTAGACCGGCGAGGCGCGCGCGGTGGCGGTGGAGCGCACGGCGGCGTCGGCTCCGGCCGCCAGCTGTGCGCCGTGTGACGTCACTGCTCCTCGCGCATGCGCAGACCGGCGAGGCGCGCGCGGCGGCGGCGGAGCGCGCGGCGGCGACGGAGCGCGCGGCGGCGGTGGCTCCGGCACGCCAGCTGTGCGCCCTGTGACGTCACTGCTCCTAGCTCTTGCGCACCATGGAACACGGCTCATTATGCGAGCCACGCGAAACTCCTCAACTTCGGCCAGTGTAGCTCACGCTACAAAAAGGCAACTGGGCAATGAGTGTTTGATGGCGAATTATAGCTCGAGGTCTCTGACGTGCATCATGTAGCAATAGAGAGACTTAGCAAACCGCTCCCGATACCTCCGATACCCCCGTAAACGACACGATGTATGCGCAAAGACGGCGACGGAGTATCGGTATCGGAGTCGTCGGAATGATCTACTCAAACTCTATAATAGTACACGACCGCCCAGGGGTGGTAATTGCACCCAGGAACCCTGGGCTCTGATGTTTGATGTCTGAAGACTCTGATGTCTGAGGAAAAACACCGTCTGATAAAAAATGCCGTCTGATGTAAACTCCGTCTGATGAAAAACGCTGGCAAAAATGTAGCAGCTCCGATCACAAGATTCGAATATAAAGTAAAATACCACAATGCACATGTACCTGCAGGAGTTCGTCGACACTGCGAGACCACAAGAGGCAGCATGATTTGTACCCTTGCTCTGCTGACGGTACTCGCGATTACGGTAAGTACCAATCAAATTGTAATTGTGTTCGAGGTCGAGGTCTTATAATCGCGTTACTTTAGTTACTACTCTTATGTTTGCAAACTTATGCAGGAGTACGAGATATACCGCGGTATTGTCCTATAAAGAATTATGGGTATTTGATTTGCGAACGACGGACTGCGCAGATTCAACGCGACAATTACCGACAACTTGAGGCACGACGGGTTTGGCGAGTCCCAAGGAATACAATTCAAACGCAAGTTCGTCTGCTTATCGCGCAGGGGTCACAGTGGCGGTAGAACGACGAGCTCTGATTGTTCCTGATTGGATCCCCCTCTGGAGGGGGGGGGGGGGGGGGGGGACAGGGGGAGGGGGGCTTTGATAGGGGCTTCTTTTTGTAGGAGAGGAAAAGCACATCACTGGCGGCGGCGGTTGTCCGGCGCAGGGAGGCCCTCGACCGTTGTTGACCGACTTGTGTCCTCCTTTTGTGCCCCTTCGCGGGGTTGGGCTGGTGTCGGACTCTGAGGGGTTTCTTCCTGTCGATCCTTCCTAGGTTGTTCTCTTGGCGAGGCCCGGTTTTTTCTTAGTTCAGTTCCCGGTTTGCTTTTTGGTGAAATTTCCGCTCTGTCCGAGGATCCGATTCATTTATATCGAACTGGCTTTAGATAGGTTGTGCCTACGCTGGCGGTACCGGTCGAGGATCATATACTTTTCCTTGTTTTACCTTCCTCCCACTAACGAATGTCCCTGATTGGAAGGATAGTGGGTAGTCCTCGACGCTATCTTCCTTGAAGTTTACCCACTCTCCTTCCGATCGGAGCCAATGAGAGCTCGGTGTTCTGACGTCACCACACACGCAGCGCTAGAAGCAGACAAACTTGCGCTTCGAATATCACTGCGCAGTCAATTCCACATCTTTATTTATTAATTTGCTGCTTACGCCATACGCGTATCAACTTAGCTTTGTTGTGGGCTCTTTCGCTCTGAGAATAGTAACTCATCGTTCGGTTCGTTTATAATTCTCGTTTCAGAAATATCTCGTCTTTAAGCCCAGAAATCTTTAAAATAAATAAAATATACGTGGACACTTATAATACAAGATATTCGCTCCATCCTGAGATACCTAGGTTCTTTGCCGCTTTTTAACACCCAATATTGGTGCGTAAAGTCTAATAATAGTATATTCCCATTGTAAATGCATGATTCAAAATTAAACAAAAAAATATAATCTGCTAGATCTACACTTAAGGTGTTTTTTATGTATATAAAATAAACTCTCTATATTTATAATCACAACCGCCTTTAAATCTATGGGTGACTGCTTAAAGGGGCACTGACACATCAAAATCATATTTTTTTTTTATTATCCGAAACGATTGAAAACGATGCCGGGACATTACCCTCAAAATTTGAAATTTGGGAATTCAGTATTTATGAAGTAAAAAAAACAATTTCCAAATGCCGAATTCGAAGTTCCCGCGCGATCGGTGCCGGTGCCTTGACGTCAAAAATTGCGGAGACCTGAGAGTCGACTTTCTTTCACCACTCCCTGCTGTTGCCATGGCGACCCAAAGCGAGGAGGAAAGGAGTGAGCGGCGGCGTTGCGGCGGACCGGTTTTGAGCGGTGTCGCCTGTTTTCCGTTGGAGGATACAAATCCAGGAGACGGCACCACAACGAACTCCCGATTTTTGGTATTTCAAAAAGAAGGGCCGTAGTGCTTTCGCAATTGCGTTAAAAAACATGTTTTAGGATTGCCGTAATTAAATGTTATAGAGATGTCGCCTACAAAGCTTCTAAATTTCATGATTCTTGACGTCACCCCGATCAAAAGAAACGAGGAGGTGAGAGGCGGGAAAATCAAACGCCAAAAATAAAAAGGCGCGCGCGCGCGCGGGAAAATGTTTTTTCGCGATGCGTTTTTTTTTTTTTTTTTTGCGTGTCTATGACTGCAACTTGCATCGTTTTAGACAATAAAAATAAATACGACCTTTGGGGTGTCAGTGCCCCTTTAAGACTTTCACGATGTAGAACTACAGATGGTGTGAGGATGCTTTAGAAGACAAAGAAGAAGCTGTCCTTAAATAAATAATTTTTGGCTGGTTATGGAGACAGTGAGGTCCTTGTCCCTTCTGTTCCGGGTCACACGGTTTAATATTATGGATGTGCGCCAGCTCGCTCGCGATTTACTCTTAATTTACAAAAAAAAAAAAAAAATCTGATTCTTTAGAAAAGTTCTAAATCTTTTTGAGTGAGTAATGCACTATGTTGACGATGAATAAGTCTGTTTCCTTACCTTGCATACAACTATAGCTGGTGATAGGTAAAGACAGAGGTCTCAAACACGCGGCCCGAGGTATGCATGAGGCCCGCTCCTCGCTGGGATACGGCCCGCACGCAACCGGCTTCGAGCCCGGGCCCGCCTCCTTCTCTTGAGCGCTTGAAATGGCATGCGCCATGAGGATCTCATATCGCCGATTCATTTCCCTTCGAAACATGGCTATGCTCTAAGAACGTATTCACATAGTTTAAACTATTTTGTTTTTGTTTACTTTGTGCTTTGTTTTAATTTTTCTTCCCAGCTTTTTGTCCTGCTAAGAGTACCCCTATGACAACATACATTTCGCTAATTTCCTCAAGTTCAAGGGTAGTCCGCGAGTGCAGTTCCACGCGCTGCCGGTACCGCCTTTTGCAACAGTAACCGTTCTAAAATAAAATCCAATACAAATGGCACTTCGCACGCGCCTTCATCAACGTCTCGACATGGTTGTTTACTTCGAATATTTTATACGTATAAGGGCGAACACGTGCAGGGCGTGTGCTTACGTTCACAACATTCTTTTTGGTGCTAGGGTAATTTAGCAAAAGGTTTATTCCGCTACCATTTTTTATAGACTTAAAACAAATTTGGTGGTTGTGTATGTGTTTATACGGACTAGAACTTGGTCTGCCTCAACGGGCGACGAGTCTCCCATCTGTAGATGAGCAATTTAGCGAGCGCAGTATAACCGCTAGTCTGGGGTCTTTAACGTGTACCACGCAGTATTGATACACGACCGCACGCCGGTATGATGCTCATCCAGATCAAAACGAGCAGGAGGGGGGTTGATTATAGAGCCCAAGTGCGTGCTGTTTGCTCAAGGACGCACCTCGGCTGCATGAATCACACTGTCAGCAGGAAAAACTGTCAAGGATAAGGCAGGATCGAGGATTCTCTTGTTTAAAAAAAATCACCATGAAACTACTATTACAGCGGAGTTGTTAAGGGCTAGTTTCCCCAGGATCGAGTCCGGTACCAAACAAATGTCGACACCCATGGCCGACACAACAATCTGTTTGCCGACGTCGCTCATAGATGGTCGTAGGTGTGCGGAGTGTTGTGTTTGCCGGTTGTCTGCTTGCCGCCGTCGCTCATGGATCCCTGCAACACTTCTTCGGAACGAGAGGCGATGTGCGCAGCAGCGCGAATAATTTCTCAACTGCCGCGAGTCCGCTACGCCTAAAGTTACACTGCGTCAAGCACTTCAGATTCAATTGCGAAAGAAGAGCAGATCGCTCGCCTGTAAAGCCACCGCCGGGAGCAGAAGCTACAGCTCCGCTGCTCCTCCTTCTTCACCAGATTAAAAAAGGCTGAAAGTTTTTTTTTTTTTTTATCTTCTTTTATTTTCTTTGACTACGGCTGCAAACATCCCCAGGAAAGCAAGCACTGTCATTTTTTTTTTCGCGACATGTTCAGTTTGATTAATTACCGTGTGAATTCAGCAACGGGAACGGCAGCTTGCTTCCTCTCTTGTCCTGCTAAAAATTCCAAAACGATGGTGGGGCGGTGCCAGTTTAATTCATGTTGTCACATCATGTGAGCGCCCAATGTGATCCCATAAACAAATTGACCACTGGGTTAAGAGCTCAGGAAAAACTTCTCCCGCTCCTTTCCACTTCAGCAGAGCGAATGACGTAGGGGAGGTTACCTCTTTACCAGCGTTCGCTCTGCTGAAATGGAAAGGCGTGAGGGGAGTTTCGAACTCTTAACCTCTTAACGACTAATAGAGGTTGAGACATATCCCAGCATAAGGAAGTATATAAGCCTACCACTTATGGCATAAGAGCTTGTTAATGCATTCACGTTTAAAATTTTTCTGAATATCCATGCTCTGTCATAAAGGACAAACTACGGGAGAAGCTCTTGCACAAGTGCGTTCCAATTTAGTGATGCAATGTTTCCTTCTAAAATTCGTGCTGGGTCCTCTGACGTAGTTTTTAAGTGTTAACAGACTACTCTCAACTGAAACGGCATTCATTGGATCTCCCATTCTCCGTTTCACAATTTGGCCAACAGGCCGCGCCAATTTTAGTTGCACAATTAGATAGGAGGTAACTCACCGCTTCCCTCCACATCTTTCCCACTGGGGGGCTTCGCCTCCTCTGAAGTGGCGAGGAGAGATCATGTTGGCGCTATTACTGTGTCGTACAGTTTTAGTTCTGACGTCGGCTCTCCCGTTTCCTGCCATTCAGGTGAAGTGCCAAGACGACAGGCGACCGCTTTATGTCATCGGCCACATGGTGAACTCAATCCCGGAAGTGAAAACGTTCCTGAATCTCGGTGCCAACGCCATTGAGACCGACGTGACATTCAGCAAAAACGGCACCGCACTCAAGATGTACCATGGAATTCCGTGCGACTGCTGGCGAAAATGTTGGAAGACCGCAGATATCGCGGATTTCTTTCAGTACCTCCGGCGCTTCACCCGGTTCAGTAAGATTTTCCGTCCTGAGCCAATTTTAACGCGATACTGTTAAGGAGCTGGTGTCGCAGGAAAGCCGTCGTCGACGTCGGTAAAGTTGTGACATGAAACTCCTGACTGGCCGATAGGGTCATTATGTCACAGTGACATGACCTCAAGCGGGAATTTCAAGCAACCCACAACGCTCACGTGAAACGTGACGTCAATCGTGGAATGAAAGTCATTAAGACGTGCCATGTAATGCGAAGTAAAGGTCGCAGCGTGTCTCAAGTGATTTCTTTGTACAAGGTAATTAATACAAATGTAAACATTTCGGCGGAACTCCGCCTGGTTAGGTAAGTAATAAGAAAAACTACAACGTAGACTCTAACCAATTTCTTCAATGTGCCCGACGTTTCGAAGCCAGCTCGGCTCCTTGTTCACGGGTGACTGTATATGGGCCCAAAGGTAGCAACCTGTCGTCGTTTTCTTCTCTTCTCTCTTAGCTTTGTTTTCTTCTTCTGTTTCTGTGTGTGGCGCACTTTAGCTGCTTGGAAGCGTTCCGGTGGATCGGTTCAGGTTGTTGTTTGTATTTTGTATGCGCCAAAATTCTATTAAGAGCCGCTTTCTCCAGTTTTCTTTCTCTGTAGAGAATGGAGCTGCTGTCAAAGCCAATGACGTGGCCGGTCTTCTGAGGATGTTCCGCCAGCGCGCTGCCTTGGATGTCATTCTTCTTTACGTTATACTTATGTCTACGCAGACGTTCGAGAAAGTTCTTCGTTTCCCCCACATAAGAAGCGTCGCATTCGACACAAGGAATTTGGTAAATCAGGCCTTGAGCTTTTTCTTTTGGTGGACGATCCTTTAGAAGAGTAAGAAAATGGCCCAGAGTTGAGACAGGTTTATGCGTACCTGCAATGCCCCACGGTATCAAAACGCGGGCTAGGACCTCGCTCGTGCCATGGAGGTACGGGACGCACATGCGGCTGGAGCTGTTTTTGTTCTTGGATGTAGGAGGATGACGAAGTTTTTTGTATATTTTGTTGACAAATCTCGTAGTGTAGTTGTTTTTCCGAAGTTCTCGCTTTAGAATATCGACTTCCATCTTAAGTGGCTTCTTTGTGGAGCAGACCGTGAGGGCGCGTCGAAAGAGCGCCGACACTACAGAGGATTTGTGAGTTGTAGGGTGGTCTGACGAGAAGTTTAGGTAGCGACCGGTGTGCGTTGCTTTCCTGTATACTTGGACGGATAAATGGTTCCCTGTTTTTTCCACTGCCACATCCAGAAATGGAAGGCACCCGTTAGACTCATGTTCAACCGTGAATTGAATGTCTGGATGGATGGAACTGAGATGTTTGTGAAGGCGATCGACTTCGCTGGACTTGGCAACACAGAAGCAATCATCCACGTAACGTAGAAACAGAGTCGGTGTGGGAGAAAATGTGCTTAAGGCTTTTTGCTCGATGGCTTCCATTGTGAGGTTGGCCACGAGATTTGTCAACAAAATATACAAACAACTTCGTCATCCTCCTACATCCAAGAACGAAAACACCTCCAGCCGCATGTGCGTCCCGTACCTCCATGGGACGAGCGAGGTCCTAGCCCGCGTTTTGAGACCGTACGGCATTGCAGTTACGCATAAACCTGTCTCAACTCTGGGCCATTTTCTTCCTCTGCCAAAGGATCGTCCACCAAAAGAAAAAGCTCAAAGCCTGATTTACCAAATTCCTTGTGCCGAATGCGACGCCTCTTATGTGGGGTAAACGAAGAACTTTCCTGAACGTCTGCGTAGACATAAGTATGACGTAAAGAAGAATGACATCCAAGGCAACGCGCTGGCGGAACATGCTCAGAAGACCGGCCACGTCATTGGCTTTGACAGCAGCTCCATCCTCTACACAGAAAGAAACTGGAGAAAGCGGCTCTTAATAGAATCTTGGCACATACAAAATACAAGCAACAACCTGAACCGATCCACCGGAACGCTTGCAAGCAGCTATATACACGGGCTAAAGTGCGTCACACACAGAAACAGAAGAAGAAAACAAAGCTAAGAAAGAAGAGATGAAAACGACGACAGGTTGCTACCTCTCGGCCCATATACAGTCACCCGTGAACAAGGAGCCGAGCTGGCTTCGAAACTTCGGGCACATTGAAGAAATTGGTTAGAGTCTACGTTGTACTTTTTCTTAGGTAATTAATTTGCCTTATAGAAAAAAATTGAAGAATTTTAGACGGGAATCGAACCCTCAGCCCTTCGATTGCAAGGCAGATACGCTACTAACTAAAGCTTGCACGGTTTTGGAAAAAGCGGGAGGTTTTATGTTTAGCTATCGCGTTCTACTCTTCTTTCACACCGCGACCGATGATCTTAGCCGCGACCAACGGCGTCGGTTGATATCTTCGGTCACAGTAAACCAGTGAACCGTAAAGCAGTGAGCAGACAGTCTTCCAAAGCAATATAAATTAAACTGATCGGTGTTGCACAAGTCACATGAACCTATTTTTGCGAACATTTATTAATTCGGATAATAGACTGTCTCGAAAATGGTCACTCATTTAATATCATAGAAGAAAAAGTAAGCCAGTGCCTTAGGACTTTAAACCTACAGATCTCAAACGTTCGTTACGCTGTAGTAATTACATGACTGAAAGCTTGTAGAAGCACGCAATATTTATTTATTTATTTATTTATTCAAAATACCTTGGAGGTCCGTTTCTGGACATTACTCAAGAAGGGGGAGGGGGATTTAGTAAAACTATAATATTGTAGGGCCAGCCAGGGCCAGCCAGAGAGAACAAGAAGAATCCTGGAGATGCACACATAGCTAGCGACAGTAAAGCCCCTCTATCTTGGGAAAAGTGGCGCCGTCTATTGTTGCAGAAATCTTCGAAAGACGTGCCACGCGCCACTTCTGGGAAGAGCATAGCTTCTGAAATCTAGATCAGTGATGCGCTGTGCCACCATGGCCGCCATGATTTTCCCAACTACTCCACGTTGCACGTGCCTTTTGCATCAACGCACCTCGCGCTACTTTTAAAACAGAAAGGGACTTTACGTGACAGAGGACACCGTCGCCAACTGCCCACTGTGATCGAAAGTGTATATGTGTAAATCAATGAAAGGCAGATGACTACCCTTCATATGGTGACCCGGGCGGCTGCGACCTCAACGAACCCGCATCTGACAAGGTTACGCAAAAGAAAGTCCCCGTCGTTTTCTTCGCAGTTGCCCGACCTGGCTGGCGCTAAGCCCGGAAATAAGCTGCCGGCCACAAAAAAAAAAAAAAAAAAAATTGATTCAGCAACTCGCCACTGCCAGCAGACGACTACCGACATATGGACTGCGGGCCCAGAGTTGTGGTTCGCACAAGTAGACCAAGAGTTTACCCGCAGAAATATCACCGCTCAAACGACAAAATGTCGCGAGGTCGTCACGTCCTTATCGCCTGCAGAGGCGCAGGAAGTGAGATACATCGTCATCTCCCCGCGAGACCAAGAGCCCTATTATTGACTCAAGCAGGAGCTAATCCGAAGAACCACTGCGACAGAACAGTGACGCTTGTAGCAATTGCTCGCGGCTGAGGAGCTCGGAGACCGCAAGCCATCGCAGCTCCTCCGACGCATCACACAACTTTTGCGTTAGTCAAGCCTCCTTGCGGAATTTTCATTTTACGGTAACTGTTTTTTTCAGCGTCTGCCTTTGAATGTCCGCAGGATCCTGGCAACGTCCAGCAATTTTCCTCTCGACGACCTCGCCCAACGCGCCGACAGGATTTTAGATACAGCCCCGCCAATGATTCAAGCGACCACGTACTTACCAGTGGCCATCCGCTACATGCGACAGTTTCACCTCCTTTTGATTTCCAAAAGCTGCACGACGACTTCGCCTATTTAGTAGCTGTGGTGGCTCCTCTTCGACAAAATCGGCTTAACCTGCCTGAACCAAATCAAATGATATCCATAGTAACCCTGAGACGTAGGAAAAATTTTAAAAAAACGCCGAGGCACTGAGACGTCGGGAAAAAATAAAATGAGACGCTCTTCTTCGAGAGACCGATCAGGGACACCGCAAGTTTGCTGCTTCCACCGGATTTACAGAACCCGTGCGCAAAACTGTTCCTCGCCCTGCAGCTGGTCGAAGGGACGCCCCAGGAGCACTTACTGAAGGTAACAAGTCAAGAGCGCCTTCCTTCCCCAGGTCACCGTTTCTTTGTCGTGGAACAGAACACAAAAGTAAATATCTTGCTGATATTGGAGCCCAAGTGACCGCAGTATACCCGTCTGCCAGAGAGCGTGAATTCAAAAACCTCCGTTCGAGCCTGCAGGCAATAAATGAATCCGGAGTAGCTACGTATACGGAAAGAAGTCTCTCACTTTCAATCTGCGACTTCCGCGAATTTTTTTCTAGATTTTCCTTATTGCTCAAGTGCAGTCTCATCTTGGGAGCAGATTTTCTGTCATACTTTGGCCTCTGCCTGGATGAACGTCATTCACGTCTTTCGACACCACAACCCAACAAACCGCTACAGGGGCCATCACAAAAGCATCATTCTCACATTCGCCTACACTCCAAAACACCACTTCTATCTATGACAACTTCAGAGACTTTCCGGAACTGGCTAGCCCAAGCAACATTATGTGGCCTTTAGAACATAATGTTACACACCGCATTGTAACAATCGGCCCACCGGATTAAGCTCGCACTCGAAGACTAGCTCCGGAATGCCTCCAGATCGCCCGTCAAGCACTGGACCACATGTTGGAAATCGGCCTCATTTGCACATCCTCAAGCTCGTGGTCGTCTCCGCCCAACATGGTTCCTAAAGTGACCCCAAGGGACTCGAATCCCTGCGGGGATTATCGCGCCTTAAACAACGTAGTACAAGCTGATCGATACCTTGCGCCTGACATTCAAGGCTCCTCAAGCAAGCTTCACGGAATGAAAATGTTTTCTAAAATAGATTTAGTCAAGGCTTACCACCAAATCCCCATAGATTCAATTGACATTCCAAACACGGCTATTATCATTCAACATGAACTTTATGAATTTATCCGTACGCAATTTGAACTTCGAAACGCTGCACAAACTTTTCAGCGACTTATTGACAAAGTGACAAAAGGACTAGACTTTTGTTTTGCCTAACTTGACGATCTCTTCGTTGCCAGCAAAAATAAAGAACATATGGAGCACCTCCGCCTTCTAGTGACACATCTGGAGGAGAATGACGTCGTCATCAACCCCATCTAATGTCAGTTCGGCGCCCAGGAATTGATTTTCCTTGGGCATCGCCCTGACCCCCGCGGCATTAGACCCCTACCGAATAAAGTAGAACCGATTATTCGTTTTCCGAAGCCCCACAACCACCAGAATTAAAAAAAAAATTCCTGGGATTCATACTTATTTTTCGGCGTTTCCTTCTTAATTGTGATACTACTATCCAGCCTCTTACAGATTGAGGCCGCGTCTCCTAAGATACCCAAAGACCAAGACATCGTCTTGGCGGATCGCAAAGTCTTCGCATTTGAGAAGATTAAGGACGACCTCGCGAATGCCACGATGTTGGTTCATCCAGTGCCTTACGCACCGACGCGTGTTATGACTGATACGTCCGAAGAAGACGTCGGAGCAGTTTTGCAAGAGTACATTGTGCAACAATGGCAACCACTCTCTTTCTTTTCTGAAAAACTGCACCAATCACAAAATAAGTATAGTAGATTTTGAGGAGAACTCTTGGCAATACATCTCGCTGTCAAACATACGAGTAGACACTTGTAGGGCGGGAGTAAGATGATGTTATAAACCGTCCAGCACAATTTTGGACGCTTTAAATTTGGTTATTAAGGTATTTGGTGTGGGTATTCAATACTGCAGAACCAAATTCAAGCATTGGGCGGACATATATTTCATCTGTCAACTTGCGTAGGTGAGGAGAAGGGGCAGGGAGGCAGAGTAAAGGTGGCGTCGTAAATATCCCTATGTTCTGGATGCATGACTCGTGATCACATTTGTGTGGTTAGTCCAAGACCGGTCACTAGAAAGATCAACGCCCAACACCAAGTACTGTAGACGGGGAATTTGAAAGAACTGAGTCACCTAGAAAATATAGATAAGGTGATAGTTCTCCTCTTATTAAAACGGAAATGGATAAAAAAATACAAAACTTTACCCAAACAGCTAGAAATAATTTGAAATGGAACCGTATAGAGATATCAAACTGGCTGTCGACGTTTTGTTAAAAAACTAAGTTTCTTCGGGATGCCCTGAAAAAGCAACGTAATCTAGCGAAAGACGTGCTAACACTCTAAGACATCGAGGTAGTCATTCAGTGTATCACCTACATTTTGTTTTAATCATGAACCTAAGGAGTTATGCCAACATGTTGTTAAACGGCGACACCTTTATCCCTCTCTCTCCCTTTTTCTCTCTATACATATATTTAGAAGTATGCCTATATAACAGTTTACCTTTTTGTTTTCTAAGTTCGTCCTCTGCGCGCAATGTTCCGCAAAATTTTAACGCGCTGCTTTTTTGACTGTTCACTTGTAGAAAATAAATGCAAGAATCGCTCTCATCGTTTTCGTTTCCTTCTAAATATTGTCTTTGAGATATAGCTAATAAAAAACTGAAACTCTGAAGGTGAATTTAAATCAGGGTTTTAGTTAGACAGGGGCATGGTGCAAGGCTGTTGATGTCCCAAAATACTTAGAATAATGTTTGTCGAGGTTCTCAAAAATGTGTTCAACAAAACTTTAATTGAAACACTACATTTACACTTGCTCAAAACAACTAATCGTTAAAACATTATTTACCATTTTAATTTAACAAAAAGCTCGCCTTGCTAAAAGTTCCCTTGTCTTTGACCAAAACGTGATTAATGTTTTCTTTTATTTTTTGCTATTCTTATGTTTAAACTTTCACCTTAATTTCATGAAAAACCCTGTATAGATAGTGCCTGTAAAAAAACTAATATATATATATATATATATATATATATGTATATATATATAACATAGGGTGTTTTCTTTAAGTTTAACCAAATTTTCAAACAAAAACCATGAAAGCTAGATTAATGCGGTCTGCGCAGGTGAGTCATACGGCCAGGTGGACACAGTATAGGGGGGCAATCGTAACGATCAGTCGGCTAGTTAGTTAAAATTTGTTAACTAACTTTCTAATTAATAAAAATAGACATATATTTCCAACTAAAAACTTGCTCGGCGTCGTCAAAAACCACTAAATCAGTAAATTTTAGAAAGACTTTAAGCGCCTGAGAAGCGTAGCAGCGCACTAAAGTTACCCCTCGTGGAGCAGGTACAAGGCTAGCAGTTGCTGTAAGGGACCCGCGCAATTTTTCTGACTCTTATCTAGCCCCAGCCTTGGACCTGCTACACGAGTGGTAAATTTAGTGCACTACCACACTTCCCAAGCGCTCAAAGTATTTCTGAAAATGACTGATTTAGTGGTTCTCGAAGACGCTGAGCAAGTTTCTAATTGGAACTATATGTCTATTTTCATGGTTTAAAAAGTGAATTAACAAATTTTTACTAATTCACTGACTGTAGTTACAATTAGCCCCCTATACTATGTTCCCCTGGCCGTATAATTGACCTGCGGAGACCACATCATTCTACCTTTCATCGTTTCTTCAAAAAAAGTATTTTAAGCTTAAAAAACACCATATATATATCAACTTCCTGGGATTCATAATTTTTTTTTCGGCGTTTCCTTCCTAATTGTGCTACTACAATCCAGCCTCTTACAGATTGAGGCCCTGTATTCTAAGGTACCCAAAGACCAAGACATCATCTCGGCGGATCGCAGAGTCTCCGCATTTGGGAAGATTAAGGACGACCTCGCGAATGCCTCGATGTTGATTCATCCAGTGTCTTACGCACCTACGCGTGTTATGACTGACGCGTCTGTAGGAGACGTCGGGGCAGTTGTGCAAGAGTACATTGAGCAACAATAGCAACCTCTCTCCTTCTTTTCTCAAAAACTAAACAAATGAAAAAAGAAGTATAGTACATTTTGAGAACTCTTGGCAATACATCTCGCCCTCAAACCTACAAGTAGACACTTGTATGGCGGAAGTAAGATGATGTTATAAACCGTCCAGCATAATTTTGGATGCTTTAAATTTGGTTATTAAGGTATTTGGTGTGGGTATTCCATACTGCAGAACCAAATTCAAGCATTGGGCGAACATATATTTCATCTGTCAACTTGCGTAGGTGAGGAGAAGGGGCAGGGAGGCAGAGTAAAGGTGGCGTCGTATATATATATATATATATATATATATATATATATATATATATATATATATATATATATATATATATATATATATATATAATGATATTTTGGTCCTTGAATAGTGAATTTAGGTGTGTTATAAATAGCTAATATATAATACATATAAAATTAATTGTCGCATTAGTTTCAGTGTCATAAACCTGAAAAATCATAAAAGCGCCTGCCATCAGGTTAGGAATAACCAAAAAATACATCCCAAGTATCACTCCCTGTTTATTTTCTTATAGTTACTCTTATTGCTTCCAATATATTTTTCAGGACGCAGCGAATATAGCGAAACACCTATCCTTCTTGTTCTGGACCTCAAGGTATCCAGTATACAGCCGGAGCGTAAACACCACGCTGGGGTAGACATTGCCACCAAGCTTATTACACATCTCTGGAAGGGAGGTTTGTGTGCCTAAATATCAATCCTCCTCCGCATAATATATATATATATATATATATATATATATATATATATATATATCTATATATATATATATATATATATATATATATATATATATATATATATATATGTATATATATATGAATTCAGTGCATCTAAAATGGTAAGCTGGGCGAGCTGGTAAACGTCGAACATCATCGAAGCTATGCGCCATCTATTCCTTTTAGTAATAGATGGCGCATAGATTTGAGCATTATAAACTTTTGCAATTTCCTTCACATCGCTTGTTATTTAACAAATTTTGGATCAAAATATACGTTAACAAAACTTTTAAGAAACATTCGCAGGCTATCTATTGTTTATGATCGCGGTACTGGTGAGCTAGGCTCTGATTCAATAGGCGACGTGGATTTGGCTTACCTGCCGTGGCACCATGGATTCATCGCAGTGAAAAGGCAGAGAGCTTTCGAAGCAATGGAGGTATGAGAGAATCCGTTTTTCTTTTAAAAGTTCTATAGCGAAAAACTATTTTTTGGCTCTCAATTTTTGTGTTTTTGTGTTTCTTTTCACACCTTTTACGACGTGCGGTGGATGAAATTCGATTTCAAAATCCTTTCATGGTCCCTTTAATAATTTGGTAATCCCTAATTCAAATGCAAACTAAGTACGAAAGAGTTTTAAAACCGGCAGAAGAATCTGTCATTCGGAAAATCTGAAGTGATCGGAAAAGTATGGGATACTTTTCAAGTAACTGTGAATTACTTTGCTTCTAAACTAATAAAATAATCTAACTGAATGCTTTGCAACCAAGAGTAAGTGTAATTTTAATCGAATATCTTTTTTTTTTTAATAACGTATATAAGTTTGGCCGCTATGGCTATGAGCATAACGTAAGCCCGTGAAACATCATGCTACATGTCACAGCGAAACGCAGACTAGTTCGTAGAGCTTGCTCTTTAGACTGCAGGTCCCTCAAGTACTTTTAAGAAAGTAGGTGTACCAGATTTCTTAGAGTGCATTGTAGCGTTGATAATTGAAAAAAAAAGCTGGTGGGCTGCTTGGTTACGCGTATCGATATAAACGCTGCGCAAAATCACCAACAAACAAATAACAAGCGAACAAAATGACAAGCAAACTCGTGAAACATGAGTTCTTGGACGTAGTTCAACTACTCTACTCAAACTACTCTAGTTTAACTACTTTTCCGAGTAACTTGGTAACTTTCAATTACAACTCTATTTGGGTAATTAGTAGTTTAATTTAACTATGTTTTTCATGTAACTTCTACTCAAATTACTAACTACTTTCGAAATTTAATCCTATTTTTTTTTCATCACAAAAGTTTGAGGGCAGAAATAAATAAGACGCTGGCAGATTAAGTGGTATTCCCGAACAAGGGGCCCCCTCACATTCCGTTCCCACGCACTTACACTCGGCAGCCCTAGAAACTGCATCACAGGCGTCCTTGGGCCAAGGTGGTGACGACGAGCGGCCAAAACATAACACCGGCGCGCATGAACGCAGTCAGAGATGCTTGACAAGCCTTGGTCGGGTGTTGACCTAACCCGGTAATTCACGCAAGCGCCGCGTTTCCAGCTGCAAACGTGAAAGACGGGGACACTCCGAGGGTTGTTGTTGTTTTCATGGTGTGCCTTTAGTGAGTTCTGACTCACGTGGTAGGTTCCACGGTAGGCGTTACTAGGGTGACCTCGCAGCTGGGCGCCTGTTCTCATGGTCGCCTCGTCGTCAGCGCATACTCCCTTGCAAAGCGGACTCCCCCGCGCAGAAACGCAGACACGGATAATCCGTTCATGGGAGCACGTTCCCGCTTCCAGCTGCAACTGTACGAGCGCCGATGCTTGTTCACGTAATCCTTCGCGTCCTTCCGACCTTCCACGCCAGGGAGACCTCCTCTTTGTTGAAAACGTTTTACTTGTCAGGCGCGTCAGGATACCGTAGTCGCCGGAGAGGATTTCGAGTCACCCTTGGGAGATCCTTTTGTTGGACCCAACGTTAACGGCAAAAAACAATTTTTTTTTTGTGGCGTAGCTATAGCATTGCAACGAGACGCGCAGTCGTCCGGATGATCTCATCGTCGTGGCGTGAGACTTGATCCCTTGACGGTCAGGTGCACTCGCTTAGCCTACATTCCGAGCGTCATTGGAATAAAGAGGGGCCAGTCATAACAATCTCAACTTGCCGAAGAAAAAAAAAGAGGAGAGTTTGTTATAAAAGACCCTCTAGGCCGAGGCAAGCATCACATGTTTCGTCATGGACACCAAAGATGCCGACACTCGCCTACCCGACCCTGCACAGCCTGCCTCTGAAATTGAACGCTGCCTTTGCATCCAGCGCCAGGATGGAACGTCTTTTTAGCTTGACCGAGGAGGTTATTAGAATGAAAAGAGGAAAACTCTCCGATAACAACTTTGAAAGACAATTGCTTCGGCGACCGAATAAACTATTTTGGAAGTCATAAAATGACTGCATTTATTTCCGGCTCGCAGGGTTTTTCACTGATCAAAACTTCTGTTCATTTTGCTGCCACAAAAACATAAAAAGTAACTTCGAAAGTAACTTCAAAGTAATTCGCTACTTTTTTACAGTAGTTAGTAGTTTACTCAATTACTATTACAAATGCGTAATTTCTACTCTACTTCAACTACTTTTGGCGTCGATACTCAGTAACGTAACTTAACTACCTTTTTTGAGTAATTTGTACATGTCTTGTTGTTCTACTCCACATCACACCAAGTTCTAGCGCATTCGACGCTGCGATACGACGGCGAGAATCAAGCCGTGCCAGAAGTGCACCGTCACGGCGTGAGTCGCCTTTGTGCGATTACTGAAACCGGCTAAACTATACTACGTGTCACTAGTTGCATGCAGTACAGGCGAAGGCAACATCAGGCGAGGGGAGAAAGGCGTGAGCACTAGGAAGGCTGGAAGAGAGAGAGAGAGTAATCTCCTCTCCTCCCTAACGTTGCTAGTGATTTCTCTTTCTCACCTCGCCCACTATTGCCTTCCTCTCCTGTCCTGCCGTCCGAGTCTTAGTTGGGACGTCTTGTGTTTGTCCCCTCTAGTCCTCCGTCTTGGGTTTTAGAAATGTTTAACTTCAACTAGCTCGCCTGCCTTTTAACGTTACTTATACTTAGCGCTCGCCTTGTCTTCTACTTCTAGTGTGGTCGGTGACAGGTTAAGAGCAGTGTGGAAGTTCCTCTCAGCTCTTTCCACTTCAGCAGAGCGAACGCTGGAGACGAGGTGACCTCCTTTCCAGCGTTTACTCTGCTGAAGTGGAAAAGAGTAGAGACGGTGACATGTAAGAAATAAACCGGAAGCTCCTTCCGGTTTATTTTTTACATGTCACCGTCTACAGTTCTTGTCCTTTTGGACTGTTTTTTGTTATTTTAATAGTGTTGATACTTTTCCTGAATTAAAAATATGCTACCACTTCGCAAATTTTCTAAAGAAGTCAATCCTTTGTAGCGTAGTACTGTTGCCTCGTTGCCTGACTCAGGCATGAAGTGACGATGAAGACTGAATTAAAATGCAATTAGGTTCCTAACCTAGAAGTGGCGCTTTTACTTTTTTGAAGCGTAGATTTAGGCTATTTTATATTGTTGTTGTTGTTGTTTTCTTTTAGTTTTTTTATACCCAGAGTTATTGCAGTGTTGTGAACGACATATTTTGAAGATAAATGCTGCAATTGTTTCTAGAACATTAACGATAGCTGTGTATTAGGTCTTTCATCATGAGTCAATGCTTTGTGCTGAATCGCATTTATCTAAAAGTTGATATTCATTTATTTTAGACTGCGTTACCGCGAAATCGTTTCTGTGTGCGTTTTCACGAAGATAGTTAGCTTACATCCAGGTGAACCTCTGCCTTACAGGTTGTGTTCAGAGACAGTGCAGCCGCAGGTGTAATCAAGAATCCCATCTCTTTCTTGACTCTTGTTCAGTTATCAATATGGTTCTATCCGTGTCAAATAAAAGCGAGGTAAACCCAAGCTACTAAGAAAAGCACGCAGCGTAAAATTATGATGCGAAAACGCTGCTATGTCACTGACGACAGCTTGAGAAACGCTGGGCGTCGCAAGTCCCAACCATCTCATTACCGCATCGCAGCCAATCAAACTGCCACGTTAGGCAATAAGAACGACGAAGGACCAGTCACAAAGCAAGAAGCTTGAATTACCATCATAAACACTACTATACGTTTCTTAAGCTGTCCCTGACCATAAACGCAGAAGATCACGTTCAAGATTTCAGCGTGCAGAAGAATAAACATAAATCGTGATTGAGCCAAACAGTTCTTTTTTAGAGCGCAGCTCTTAGGCGCCCGTTTCCGGCTGGAGCGGCGCCGCCGTCGTCGTCGGCGTAACCGCGGCGACGTGTCTGCAGCGTGCCGAAACGTCCTCGCAGGGTCACGTGACCCCCTTGAAGTCACATGACCCCCCTGAGGTCACGTGACCCCATGACGTTTCGGCCAGAGTGTCGAACCGGAACCGAACTGAAAACCGGAACCAAACCGTTATTTTTAGCCGAACCGGAACTGAACCGAACCGAAATCTTCGCCGCCATCTTGAGACTTAACCGGAACCGAACCGGGAAAAAAATATAACGGTAAGCAGCTGTATTTACAAGTGGACATCGAATTGTCATATAGCGAATTGCAATGTGTGAGAAATTGTAGGTTTTCGTGGTGCTTTTGTATTCGCACAACAATAAATCATATGGCATGTGGTCAAATGACGTCATAGTGTAAAGTCATGCTGTCAAATAATATCGGCCCCGCGACGTAGTCGCGTGACTCATCGCGTCAAGCCGATCTAAATTGAGAACGTCAGTAGATGTATTAGCGTCCTTGAAAACGTGAGTTCACATGCCATCACTACTTCTCCCCGCGACCCTACTGAAAAAAACCATTTGAAATTCAAACGGGTGGCAAACTGGTCGCCCGTTTGAATCAAACTTGTCGATCCGTTTGGATCAAACGT